AATTTTTATGCAAACTCTCATCTTTGAACTTTATGCTGCCACAAAGCCAGATGTATTGGACTGAGAGGCACACCAGGAGTCAGACTTTACCCAACTTCCAGCCTGAGGGGAAAGCTAACTAGTATTTACACGAACGATGGTTCAGTCACCAGACATTTTTATTCACAGCCTATCCCAGAATAGAGTTGCGGCTTTCTGGTCAATTTGCTATTACAGGATGAGCCAGGAGATGAATTCATACCAAGCCTGTAAAGCAGGGGGCACAGGGAAAGAAAGGACTTCCTTGTGTTAGTTTGAGCAGCAGGGTCATGAATTCTAAAATACAACTGGAAAATCTATAAAGCCATCATTTTGGCTTTTTAATAAATGTCTAGTCTTTTGTAATATTTTCAAAATGAAAAGTAATGCATTTATGAATTTCCTGGCACGTTTTGCAGACAGCAAACAATTTCCTTTGCTGCCTAGATGCCCTTCGGACAGGGATTAGAAGGCAGGCGACTGACAGAGGCCTGACTGAGCTGTGGGCCCTCTGGGGCCCTGCTCATCCAGGCCTGCACAGCCCTCATCCTCATATCCACTCTGCATCACCAGGCAATAACAGCCTTTATTAAAAGCGCATTGCAGCAGTGTCTGTCTATACAACTTACTTTTAGATTGGCCATAATGTGGCATGTAGAAAGGGTCTGGTGGTTAGGGGCTATAATATCCTGTTTCTGGAAAGGTTTACTTTGCATTTTAACAAGCATGAATAAAGAAGGACATTCCAGAAATGGCTACCGTCTGTTTTGCTCTTGCCTGTGGGGAGCAAAAGCTCTGACCATAGCCATTGCATGCCATCAGAGCGTGGCCGGGCTCACCTCTGATTTTACGTAGCTTTAATAGCAGTAAGTTCGCCGCTGGATGTGAAGATGGTTATAGTTTGATAGCAGTAGATGGTAAAATCCTATAAAAAACATATACATATATATATATATATAAAGATCAGTAATATGCATTCTGAACACATGGTAGTAATTTGACAGACAGGATGTCAACACACTATCTCCCATCATTAAATCTCAAGGTGAGCTCCACAGTGTTTGGCAAACCCTAAAATATGAGCACCTTTGCTCTATCAGAACATTTTCCACACCATTGTGTATTTTCCAGCGTTTTCTGACTGTCTCAAGAATTATGCATGAGGTAGAAAGGGAGGCATGTGGGGAGGGAAGAGAAATGCCTCTGTTGTCAGGATGGGCCTTGCTATTAGGTGTGTGACCCTGAAAGTGCACCCCTTTTAGCGAAACAAGCAATGGATCTCATACTGGATACCACTATTATGCAGTAATTTGTATGCATCCTCTTGTCTCATTTCCATTTATTAAAGCACACAGCTCCCTGCCCAGTTTCTCAAACTGGTCATTGAAAGTAACACTAATCCAAACTGGAGGTTTATGTGCCATTTTCAAGCAGTTATGAAGTGGCAGAGAAAACAACCGCAGAGTTAAAGTGAGATAACCCCTCCCCAAACCAGTCTTCGCCCTCGAATGCCCAGGTCTCTGTGTCCAAACAGACGGGAGACAATGACTGGTGGTTGCCCAGGTGGCCCCAGCCCCAGCCCCAGCCTTCTCCTTCTCAGCCTCCTAGGCTCACAGACAGGGATTTCCTCCTGCGATGAGAGCCAAGCCGTCACAGCCCAGCGATCAAGGGCCCGCCATCTGTGACTGAAGCAGATTTACAGCAGGAGCTAATCCACACTGTCAGCTACGTTTGTTTTCCATCTCTGCCTCCACCACGCACATACATAAACTCACTGCAAACTCTCTACAAGTGAGAAACACTCCCTTTTTACCCTTATAAAACACTCGTCTGAATCTCTTCCATCCACGCACAGACCTAAAGCAAACACTAACCCCTTGCACAGAAGGACATTTACCCATCAGCTCAATTTAATTTTGCCCCTATTAAAAGGCATGATCTCATTTTGCTCTATGCTTAAAAATAATTTTAGTTGTTAAAAATGAGAAACCTAAATGTGTCACTGAGTTACATGCCCCGGTGAACATCATTCATAAGAAATAGGGTCATCATATCTCTCCAACACAAGCTCCCCAAATTCCTCTGCATCCGTTTGGGAGTTTCCTCTGTGTATTAGCTTCTCCTGGACACTTGTACAACCTGATTCTTTACACTGACCGCTGTCAACAATCACTCTAAACACCTACAAACCACTCTTGGTTTCACCTGTTTCTCTGTAGTATCATAAGATATATTTGCTGTTATGACTCTCTTCATAACTGAACACTTGATGGGAATTTTAAACATCTTCAGTTTTCAGTTTCATCCCTGTATCTTTTCTATTTTATCTTTATGTAAATATGCCAGCTGCTATTCTTAAAAAAAAGAAAGTAGTGCACTGGTTCAAGTCAGTGCTGAGCTTTGTTCTCTGCACACAGGGCAGCTGTGTGGGGTTGGGGTCCCTCTGAGACCTTCTTTGTTTCGCCATACATAAAGGGTTAAAGAAGACAAATGGAGGTGGGGCCACAGAGCAAAATGCCTAAGCAGCACATTTATAGTATGGGCAAGAATTAAAACAATGCAGGCTTTTTATTCCCGTGTTAGTCTAATTAAAAAGAAACCTAATTTCTGCTGCCCTTGCTCTCCTTGGACATTCAGCCCGGAGGAGATTTGTGGCAATAAATCCCAGCAGTCAGTGTTTGCTGCATCCTCATAAAGAACATGGATATGCAAAGTTGTAAAACACTCCAGATCACATGTGAGGGCAGCCTAAATTTACTGCACTGCTGTCATAGCAACTTAACAGGCAACTTCAACATAATTAGCCAAAAGAAATTATTATGTAAGAGTTGTGCCAGACTACCATTGCATCCCACCTTTGTGTAACGCTGACATGTCTTTGATAACAGAACTTTGTTTGAAAGGGGGGACAAATTTCATATGTTCTGGCAACAAACCCAGAAACGCAACAAGCCCAGCACCTAACCCAGCAGAGAAAGCCCTCGCAGGATCACAGAACAGCAGCAGGCAAGGGAATTACTGTCTAGGTGACCCAGAAATCCAGGGGCAACTTTGTTTTAACAAACCAGGGAATGTTCCACCACTTTAGCAAGTATGCCTCAACCACAAAAAGAGCCCTGTGCCACAGAAGAGCTAAAGAAGAGGAAATTAAATATTACACTGGGAATGGCTCAATCCTAGCTGAGAGGTGGGGCTGGCGGTCCAGCACAGCTGATGCTTTTGCGGTGTGAAACGGCAGAAGTGAGGGGTGTGGAGTCAGCAATTTTAGAGTTAACAATTATAGACAAAGAGCTCTGATCATTAAAGTAGTAATGTGATCAAGATGCTGAGTTTTTACACACTGCCTTCCACCTAAAAGATCTCGTTTGTACATGGTTAGCTGTCAAGGAATAGAACGAGTAACATCCCACAAGCTAAACAACAATACTACACAACGTTAGAGCCTAAATAATAACAAGAAATGGCATTAACGTCCATCCCGATAATCAAGCTTCATCGTCACCAAAACACACTCTACAACTTTTTAAAAAACTTGTTCTTATTTTTAAATTCTTGAATCTGTTAAATACCAGTGGTCTTTTTGAGTAAGTGAGAGTTGCTGTAATTTGATGAAGCTCTGCAAGGCAGCAACCACTGCTGACGTGTGTGTACATGTAATGATACCGTGCACACGCAGCCCCGCTGCAGGGACACTTTGCCTAACCTAAGATCCTTCATCCTGGCACAAACACGGGCATCGGAAACATGAAAGCTTAAAAGAGGCGAAGAAAAGAAAAAAACCGAATCATAAACACTGCATCTACTGAAAAACAGAAAACACATTTATTTGCAAAGAGCAAAACAACTCCTCCTGTCTGGAAAAAAGAAGAAGAAAAAAGATCCCAACCCCCCACCCCTTTTAACCTAAATGGCCCTTCCTCTTGCCTTGCATGTTCGCTTGTCCACTGTACTGTAGTCATTAACATATTTGGAGTGCAGCGAGCAGAAAGCTTAATTGTCCCTAATTGCTCGGCTAAATATGTTCTCTAATGATTTGCTTCAGATCTGTGACTGCCTTTTGCGCAATTTCCCGGCTGCTGGCTTCATTATCCCTGCCTCCTTGGAACAAAGCGTCTTCACAGGCTGGCCTTTTTTTTTTCCTCCTACATAACACAGACAGCGAGTATGTGTGCGAGGGAAGTAATGGTTCCCTCTTGGAAGGACACACAATAGAGCCCCTTTGTCAGGGCACAGGAGTTAAAGTGATTAGAAAACCAAATCTCTACTAAGAAAGAGTGTTAATTGACCACAGCTCACTCTTCCTAATCAGTCCATAATAAATGGGCAATTGAGGCACTTTGTTTCAACCATGCAACTGTTGTTGTGGCGGAGTCTGTGTTTTTTTTGGGGGGGTGTTTTTCTTCTTGTTGCATCTGCTCCTGTTGTTCAGCTCCTCCTGCCTTCGCCCTAATGTTTTGCCTCAATGTGTCTTTAATGGCTTCTGTTCTCGCTGCACAACGTTGGCTTAGTAGGAACATTTTACGTAAAGCATAGTAGATCACAACTACAACGGAAGACTAAAGTTGTACTGGCATCTATTGTTGAGTATTGTGTCACACAGTTCTGTATGCGTAAAAAAGTCTAAATGTACAAACAAGTGTAGTGCCCATGCATATAAGTTATGGCTGAGCGTCTTCATCATTTCAGAGTAAACTAAGAACAAATGAAACAAAAAGGCAAAAAAAAAAAAAGTCATTTAATTTGGAAACATATCTATTAATGGTCACATTTAGTCTATGAGGAATTTTGCGTGAAAGTGGGAAGCCTTTGAACAATTGTGGATGCAAATTGTTAATGACTTAGGCAAATAAAGCTTCTCAATTGAGCATGTGAATGCGTAATTGTGTGCAAGACACACATGTGTAGGCAAAGACATCAAGAAAGTAAGAAAAAAAAGTACCATAAAGAGACACTAAAAGCAAGCCCCAGGGGCATGTTCTGACCTGTATCTGAAGAAGGGCATTTGCGGATGGTAAAGATGGAGCTGAGGTCCTCCTCCTCCTCTGGCAGGCCCTTCTGCAAGCGCTGAAGCTTCCTGAGGCTCTCACTGCGTTGGTGCTTCATAGAGCGCACATGCTGGATCAGGTTGAGCTTGGCCTTGGTCGAGTAGTTGCACAGCACACAATGGTAGTAGCAGGCATCACCCTCCACCGCGTTTTCGTGCTGCTGCAGGTGCTGTGGGAGGCGAACGAGCGAGAGAGAGGGGAAAGATAGAGATGGAAAGGAACACAGGGAAAGAGAGAGATCGAGAGGAAAAGAGAGAGAGAAAGAAGTTATTGTAGATGGCAGATAGCTGGCTAGGCACCACCGACTCACTTTCACTCACACAGTTGGCAAATGAACAAATCAATTCCCAATCACAGCCCTGTTGTTTAACATCCAGACCTCTTCCACTTCAGGACAACTGTTTGGACTGCACACTTGTCTGCGTGAGTGTCTGTATCAGTGGGCTAAAAGGACAGGAGAGGCCTGGGAGGCACGCAAATCTCAGGGGCCCAAGGGCGGGCAGGAATCGCATCAGCCACCCTTCAGAAGCCGCGGGTCTACAGCCTCACAGACGGAAGGAAGCATTGATCCCCTTCACTCAACAGAAGCTTCCCGTCTCTGAAAAGGAAACTCCAAACATCTGCCTGTTTCACGCATGGGATACTAAATATTGATCATGGTGAGTTAAATCCTCACTCTCTCATAGAAAAAGAGAGGCAAAGCCAGCCGGTGGTGAGGCAGGAGGGGGACTGAGGGAAAATGGAACATTCCACAACAGGATGACAACCTTCAGAGGACAGGAAATCAGCATCAGTATTGACCTGTCAACCCCAGCACTTCCTCCAAGGCTCCACAGCACGCCTGGTCCAGCTTTCACCCACTCTCCACAGAGTCACAACATGCACAACACCCTATAGTGACACCATGCCACAACAATCTCTTGTCACACCACCAGGCTCCAGTCTAATTACCTCCTGCATGGCTCAATCAATGATGCAATGCCAACACAATATGTCTGAACCTGGTGCGAGCAACAGAGTTATTGACCATTATCCTAAAGCATCACACTGATTGTTGCTGGATGTTTACAATAAAAGCCCCAGACCGGGCATGGCTACTTGTGTCATGCCTGTCACGTGCTGTTTCTTATATCAAACTCTGCAGTCTTGCTGTGGATTTCTGTGGCTGCAATCGATGTCAATCACCAAAAGTTTTCCTCTTTTTCCTCTGATCTTATTGGCGCCTGTGTCTCCTGTGAGGCATGCTGAGAGAGTACAACTAAATAATTGTAAAATGCAGAGTGTCTTATGCAGAGAGATTGTGGATGAATATATACCTTTTAGTACATACAGTACAAGTGAAGCAGCTGTTCAACGAAGGCCAAAATAAGGATGAAACACTACTGGATACACTGAAAGGTATTTCTGCTAATTTTTAAAGCTATAATATGCTTCAATTGTCATTTACTTTGTAAACACAACACTCCCTTGAATCTAACACTATATATATATATAATTTTTTTAAAGAAAATCCTGTACATTGTTTCTTTAACCAGGCAAAATGCACTGAAGAAAATTAACCTTGACGTTCACCTATACCATTTTTATACATTCAAACAGTATTATCTTCTATGTGTCAGTTTCCCTTTATAAACCATTCATCAAGAAGACACTGAACTATCCTCTCCTGCACTAGACGGCCTGTTTGGCTGGCTGGAAGACATAAAAGCAATGGAAACATTACACATTTAACCACATTACTTCTAAATCAGGTGTTGACAGGCTGGCAAAAAAAAAGTCATAACAATATTATGCCTCCCTAAAAAGCTCTTGTCCCTTTCTCCTAATGTTTAATTTTCTGGCAATATTCTAATATTGCTATGGGGTTTTCTGAGCTATTGTGTTTCATTCTCTTTGGCTTCATATTTCTCACTTCTACACCTAAAATGTGCATTAAGACACTGCTTCCAGGAAAAGGAATAGGAGGTTTTTTTTCCTCTTTGTGAGCCCCAAGGCTCAGTGTAATAGAGTTATTAGGTGATTGTAAAAAGCTCTGTGTGCTCTCCTTTCTCGCCTCGTTTTAAGCCATCCATGATGTCATGAATAGGTGTTGCTGGATATTGGGGGGGGGCTCCTCCTTTTCCTCCTTTTCCTCTGTGCACAAATATTGCATCAGGACTAACGCAGAGAGAAATCTGAGAGACAGATTTGGTTATAGATGACATCAAATCAATCAAATTTCTTTTAGTCATAGCAGATGTCTTGAAGTTTAAAAAAGGAGCTCTTGCTGCAAATGACTCAAGACTCCAAAAATCTGCAAGAAAACCAGTTTTTAAAAAAGTGACAGCACCTGACCAAGACTTCAAAGCTAGTCTCATGAGGCAGAAAAAAAAAAGTCCTGGGAGTTTTACAGCTTCCCATAAAAAGCACAGGGTTTATATAGGAGTGAACCTGAGACTGCCTGCCCCAGAATCAGCCATAATTCACTATAAACCTCGACTGGCCAGGAAGATGTCCTCAACAGGGCCAGATCTGGCTAGCCCCATTGTTTGTAGCTCTGTCTACAATGTCAAATGGTTACACCTGTAAACCAACACTTTCCCCATCTCTTATATTGGCCATGACCCAAAGCAGTCTGGAGCCCTTTACAGAGCTCGTGAACGAGAGAGGAGAGTGAGGTGGTCGACGCTCATTCAGTATTAGGGAGAGGACGATGGTGTAAAAAAAATACTTTTGACCAATGAACAACAATGCGCATTTGATCATATCACACTTTCTCTAATATTGATTGCGTGATAGACTATGATCTATCTAACTGTACAAACTGCTTGGACAAAGTGCGCTTGCGGGCCAGCTTCTTTTCCGATTGTGTGCACACATGCATATACACTTTGAATGTGAAACATAATAATGTATGAGACAGGGCCTATGTCTGTTTCCTATGAACCTGCAATGAAGCCCCCAGTTGATAAATCACCTCCAACTGGAGTGCAGGAATTTGGCAGCTTAATGAAAAAGTCATGTTGGGTTGGGAGGAGTTGGTGTGCCTGGCTCTTAGGTTTCTAACTGCCCTATCAAGGCCCCAACTACAGGGGAGCTGTGGAGCATAATGGGGGGAATCTGGCTGGGTCAGTGGCATGGATTCAATACCACTGAACTGTCTAGGAATTTACAGCAGTTATATAGGAGATTCAGCTGGGCGAGTGTTTGTGGCTGCCTATATAATAACATATTAAAAATATTGCAGCAGTGATTGGGAGATTTTTAAACACGATTAAAGGCAATGAAAGTGCTGCAAAACTGCGACTAATAAAACAGCTAAATAAGCGAGCTTTCTGAAGCTTCACATTGTACAGTAGCAGCTGTTACAGTAAAAAATGAAATGCAGTCATAGTTTTTTTAAGCCTCTCTCTTCGATGGAGCACCTTACCTCTTGCTGTGGAGGCTGAAGCAGTGCTCGGTGCTTTTTCAGGTAAAGAGGGACAGGGGCGGTGTGAGCACCACCCCATCCTCTCTCTCACAACTCTACAGTGCACCTTGCCCTCTGAGTGGGCAACGCATGCCTGTATCAGTTTCACCACCCACCCAGAGCACTGCATACATCTGCATTTCCATCCACTTAAATGCAAAGTAAAAGTGGACCTTTAACACAAAACAGTGTGGTTGCAGAGAGAGTCCAGCTAGCACAAGATGGAGGTGGGCATTACTGGAAGGGTGGAAGGGAGACAGAAAGCCGGTAATTCCAAAGAATGGCTCCCAAAGGAGCCGTATAATACAACGTGTACACGTAACAACACATACAAAAGTATAGACAAAAAGAGAATCAAAAATGTACGCATACAAACACGCACAAATACGCACACACAAACACACACACACATACACAGCCGTATACCATTATGATCATACCCTAATTTCCAACATTAAATTTGGCAGTGCTGTTAATACAAAATTAATGCATTAAAACAGATGACTATCTGTGAGCTAAATAGCTATCAATTCTAAGAGAGCTGCCAAATTCCCTCTGTGAGAGAGCTGGTGAGTATCTGCTTGGATATTGCTTTGTAATTGTCTCCCTGATTCTCTGTACTAAAAGCTCTTGTCTGTGTGTGTGTGTTTGTGTGTATGCATGATTGTGTGCGTACGTGCTTCATGGTTTAAACTGCAATTCACACCTGAAGCAATGCAGTGCACAGCACTCCAGCAGATCTATGATAAGATTACGTCCTTTAAATCGCAGAAGTTATTATTGGGGTACTTTTGATTTTTTTGGGGGGCTTTTTTTGTTATTCAAATATAGCAAAAACAATGCAAAAATTCCAATCAGTGAAGTATTACACTCTGAATGGAGACAATGAAATGTGCCGGTTGGGTTGAAAAAGCAACTAAAGACAAAGGGATGATAAAATCACCTTGTGCTATCGCTTCTTCATCGAGGCAACTTGATACCTGTGCCTAATCTTCAACTAGTATCACGTGTTTTGACAACCAAAGAATCTGCTCTTAGTGAGAAAAAGTGTTGCACAGCAGCACAAACACTTTGCAGGACTCAAAACTGGTCTGGGGCTGGAGGTAGGATTTTCGTGTCCAAACAGACCAAAGCTTTGTGGTTACCATAAAAAAAATTTTTTTTTTAAAGTATAGCATCTGGCATGCCCAATGCAAACAAGAAAAAGAAGCCTAAGAAGAAAAATAAACATAAAGTTTCAATATGGATGTCAAGTGGATAAGCCAATTAGGTCAATACTCACGTCGCTCTTCAGGAGGACAACCTTCAGAGGAATGGAGACTGTTACCTGCATTTTTATGAATGCAGGCTGACAATATTAAATCATTGAACATTTGGGCTTCATAATATCAAAGTCTGGGAATGACAAAATCCCGCTTCATGTCAGAATGTGTAAATACAAAGCAGTTTTTTGTAGCTGTACGATACTTAAGGCTGAGTGTTTTCAAGATATTTCCAGGCCATCTCAATGTGTAAATATATGAAGTGATTAGTTAAAAAAGCAGTTGGCCAAAACTGACATCTGAATCTTAAAGTTTAATTTAAATTTAAAACAGATTATGTAAATTGGGATTAAGTTGAATTTTTTCAAAATAGATGACCCTTTTCCTCCCAAGCCAAAGTATACTTGTACATGTGCAGATTTGTTGGGAACTTCGTGAATCTGCATTCTGGGATTCCCC